TTGGCATTTGCTAAGTTCTTTTCACTACTCTCCTAGGAATTTGGCTTTTTCATTACTCCAGGAATTTAAAATATCAGGTGACCACCTTAGAGTCAGGATCCATGCCCGTGCCAATTCAGCATCCCCTGCCCAGGCCAAGGCCAGACCCCTTTGAGACTTAAGACTGGTCTGCAAAATGCACTGAACGCCTGGCACTTGGGTGCAGTCCTCGTGAACACAGTTTGCTTCCTCTGGGGAAATGCCAGCTACTGTACCCTGTGTTGCCTCCTTCTCTGGGCATGCCGACTCTAAGACTGCCCCTGGGGCCTGCTCTTGACCTCTGTCATGGCACCCAACTTGCCCAAGTCCAAGTCACACCATCTTGTTACACTAAAGAGGCCCTAAATGTGTTTTTCCTAAATTCCCACCCTAACCTCTGCCCAGCTCTGCTCAATAGATCCCCAGATCTTTCTCCTGAAGCCACTGGACCAGATGGCCCAGCCCCAGCTTGTTTAGACTTCTTTGCCAATTCACCCTCCTCTAATTTATACATTCAGCAGCAGCAATTGGTCATCCAGGGAGGTCCCATCCAAGGTTGGTCCCAGGGAGGCAGAAGAGGAGGCCTTCCTCAGTTTTCATTCACACTCATGAGTGCTCCAAAATCAGAACGTGAGGGCTGGCTGGTTAGCTTGCTTGGTAAAGCGTAGCATTGACACCACCAGGGTAAAAGGTCTGGATCCCTGTACCAGCCAGCTGCAAAAAAAATTAAAAATTTAAAAAATCAGAACATGAGAACTATATATTTGTCTAATAATTCTTTAACTATTGAAAGATAGCTTTGTCCAGCCAAGGGTTCAAAACTAGAGCCTTAAGCCAAGGGCGTGTGCTGGCATGCTCTTTTTCTGTGCAGGGTTGAGTATGAAGTTTTTGGTGGGAGGCAGAGTTACTAAAGAAAGCAGTGCAGCTGTGGATATTCCTCTTGTCTCGCTGCATTTCCAGATTATTTAATAAACTCAGTTCATTCCTTTGTATTTTCTGGGTTTATAGTTTTATGATTCAGCTACCATCCTTCATACTGTTGTCTGTACCCTGTTTCCTCCCTACCTGCCAAAAATTTAATAAAATTGATTATGGTAAGAAACAATAATTAAATTGTAAGACGCTAGTGATAATCATATAATCATATTGATTAGTGGTTGAATAGAGTACATGTCGTTATCCGATTATCAATTACCATATATTTTTTTTACATGACCCAATATCTGGTAAAAAAAAAAAAA